AAGGTGCGGAGGCAGTGTGGCTTTCCCTGGGAAAGCCAGTTTGTTACTTTGGTTCCCAGTCCTGGGCATTCCAGGAGCTTGGGCACAGGATTCCTGGTACCCTGTGATGAACTATTCTCTCTTGACTGGGCTCCCAAAGAGGTGTTCTGCTCCTGAAACCCCCTGGGAACTCGTTCACAGTTCTGCCTGTCACCCAGTGTGTACCTCCCAAGACCCTCTCATTGCTACGCTCACCAGCCTGGGGCCAAGTGTTTTCTTTTCTGATTGTTTCGGGAGGCAAATTGGCTGGGTCCATAGAGCAGAGCCCAGACCAGCCCACAGCTCACGGCACCTTATTTTATACGCAGACACTCCAGACTTTTATCTTTCTTACTGTCACTGTGTTTTTTATACGATTAAAACACTAAGTTTTTTTTTATTACTCACTTTGGTTCCTCAAATTTATTTCAACTGTCTCCTGAGGGCTGCTCAGCCTGGCGGCCCTGCCTGGGGAACAAAGACAGAAATCCGTGCGGTTTACCCACAAGATGCTGGCTGACGGCCCCGCCCCGCGCCCAGAATGAGGGCGGAACGGGGGCGTCGGCGTCATCCTCGTGACGTCACCACGTCGGGCCAGAGACAAATGCCTCTTTCCCACTGCAACAGGAACTAGGAGCACTGCGCAAGTGGGAGGCTGGGCCTCCCGTCTGCTGCCGAAAGCCTCGCGAGGCTTGGGGCGGCGTTCTTCCCGAGGGCGTCACCGGGGCCGGTCGGTGGGGTCCGGGAGTCCGGTTTAGGGGCGGAGCTGGGAGATGGCGTCCGGAGCGGCTCGCTGGCTGGCGTTGGCGCCCCTCCGATGTGGGGCTCTGAGGAGCGGACCGAACTGGAGGAAAGGTGGAGAGGTCTCCGCAGGACGAGGCGGTCCAGGTCGGACCCTGGTGCCGTGGAGGTCAGTCATCGTTACTCGCAGCGGCGCCATTTTGCCCAAACCGGTGAAAGTGAGTGTCTGCCTGGAGGCGGGGCGAAGGGGCCGAGGCCAATCATTGTGGGGAGTGTGCGGGTGTCGACGCTGATTGACAGGAGCACAGGCCAATAATACGACCTCTTTAGAGCGGAAGGCGGATCAAGGACAAAGTTTTGCGCTGATACGCGGCTAATTTTGACAGATGGGAGGGAATGGCCGGCAGAGATCCCGGAGTTGAGCTGGGTGCTTGGAGACAGAAGATGGGGGGAAGAGCCGAGAAAGACGGCATTCCGCACTAGCTGATCGTGAGGAGCGCGGGGCCCTAGTTCCCCGGAGCCAGAAGTCTCGGCTTTTTGCATCTAATACGGACAGGTCACGTAACCTCTCTGCCCCGTCGATGGGATGAAATAACGAATTGTGAAAGGACTTTATAAACAAAGGATACGTAGGACGGGCCTTATCTTTTTATGAGTTTTGACCTAGTATTCAATTCATGTGACTTGCAGTCCTGAGAAGTCTGCAGGGAATTATTACAATCACTGTTTTTACAAATGAAGAATCGGGCCAGAGCAGTGAAGCCAGTGTCCAAAGCTACTAGCTGAGTTGGGTCCTGGAATCCAGGGTTCTTGCTGGTACAACCCCCACCAGATCCTATTTTTTCCACCACTGAATGCTATCACATGCCATCAGTATCCTCGGTTTTTTCTAAGTGGAAACAGTCCCTTATACCCAGCAAAAGTTTGTTGACTCCAGGGCTGTGTGGGAGTTAAAAAACAAAAATAAATTCTTTTAAAGCTAGTCTGGCCTATGTTAGCTCATATAAAGTGAGGTCGGGGTTGTTTCAAAGCAAGAAGCAGGAAGGTGCAGGGTCCATGTTGGGGGAAGAGCTGCCTTATAAAAAGGCATAGCTGAACTTTTTTTTTCTTGACACTCCAGGAAAACACGAGAGGAGATGTTAAGCTTGTACTGAACTCCCCTAGTCCATCTAAATAGCTAGTCTTTTAGTGTAAAGACATGCTCACTTTTCAAAACACACCTGTTTCTAAAATTTAATGTGGTGAAATAAAATTTCTCAGGCACCAGGGAACCTGTTAAAGAACTGTATGGAATATCCCTTCATGGTGCATCTTTCTGTGATCCATTTTCATGTGTTTAGTGTCTCAAGTGGAGCTGAACTCTATTTCCAGAGTCAAGCTCTCTGAGTACTTTCTCACCTGTTTGATTGTAGGTATCTGTAATTACCAGATTGTGCCCAAATTTTTAGATGTCCAGAGTGCCTAATACTTTTCTTTCCAGTATCTACTTTGATGGCCACAATCACTTCATCTCTTCTATTTATTTTTTTTGCTTTGATTTTTTCCAAGGACTTTACAGTGAAGTTGCTTATGATGGGTCTGGGATCCACAGGAGGCAATGCCCCTAGGAGGGCTGGGCCTTCTGTGGTCCTGCTAGATTCGGGCCCGGAGCTCACAGCCATTGTTCTGACCCCCTGCAGATGTCCTTCGGCCTCCTCCGTGTGTTCTCCATCGTGATCCCTTTTCTCTATGTTGGGACGCTCATTAGCAAGAACTTTGCTGCTCTACTTGAGGAGCACGACATTTTTGTCCCAGAGGACGATGATGACGATGACTAACAGGTAAGACCTGCTTTTCCCCCTACAAGGACGAGCAGAAAGGGGGGTGGAACATCTGAGGTGTGATGTAGTTTGGCCTGGTAGCAGCATTTGGACACTTGAAACAGCAGCTCAGATCTTTAATAATTGACTCACTTAGAGGCCAATGTTTTTATTTTGCCTTTTCTCTCTGTTGGATGAAGGAAACAGTCTTACTTACAAATCACTGGGATCTCTTCCAACTAGGCTGGATCCCAGCCAGCCTTTTCAGTTGCCCTTTATGTCCCCTCAGTCTCTCAACCCACAAGTTTTCTTGACCACATGCCTTACGTGCCCACCACAAGCGGCTTCATCTCAGTGCCCCACGTTGAAATCTGGGAACCGCAGATCCTCACTGTGGTCCGCTCTGGTTACCAAGCTCTGTGCCAGCACGGCCTGCACATGAGCACTGCAGCTGGTTCCTGCACTGCTCACAAACCCTTCCCCCAGTGCCTGTCCCATTCCGCTTCCTTGTATTGACTTCTGGTGCTATGTGCTGCGTGGCTGCATTATTGTCATGGGTAAGGACACTCCTGACTCCTTAGCCTGGCATTCAGGGCTTGCCCTGATCTGGTCACACCTGTTATTCTAGCCTCATCTATATTCGCAACCACACACCTGTCCCCAGTATTGACCATTTCTTCTCCCAAGCATTGGCTCATTGTTCCTCTCACTTGGAAGCCTGTTTCCCAGCCCCTGTCTTATTTCCATCAATTCTTCATTGTCTTTGATGAAGTCTTCCCGCATTCCTTAATTTGAAAGTGACTGCTCCTTCCTCTGACCAGTACCTCTCTTGTGACACTCAGCATTGTGTACTTAAACACATACACACACCCTAAACTCCACTAGACTATGAGCTTCTTGGTGGCAGGGAACATGTACTTTGTACCCTTGGGTTCCCAGCGCTTGGTCTGTGGTGTATGCTCAGGAAATATATGAATGAATAATCAAACGTCCTCAAAACTGCCTCTCCCCTCACATTTGGGAGAAGCACTCTGTGGAATTCTCTTTTGGTATGTGGATACATGAGTGCTCTATTGCCCAATTCACTGCTGCTTTCCTTTCTTACAGGGTATGCAGGAAGTACAGCAAGGAGAAAACCCTACCTTAACTAAGAAACGGTGATGCTCGCAGCCTCCCCTCCTCCCCTATCAGCAGAAGGGTCCAGGGAAAGCCCTCAGCCTCCCGACTCCAGTGAAGCCTCCTGCATGGTCTGTGACCACAGCCCAGATCCTCAGGCTCTAGGAGGTTCCCTGTGATGTGCTGTCCACCGAGCACAATCAGATTATGAATAAACATCAGCTCTGTATGACTAAGCGATGGCTGAAGTTTCTTAATAAGAGCAGGCTCTATTTGCAGTTTCTTGTCTCTGCTGTCCTTTCTCTCTCAGCTGAACATACAGGCCTTTGATTTACAATCCAGGATCTCTAGGCCCCTATGAATCCATAATCATGGGGGCCTGGGACCTATTTTCATTATTTACAAAAGCGCAACAGAAACCGTTTTCTCTCAATAAAGTCAAACTTTTTTTGTGTTGAGTAACACTGCCTAATTGTCACATGCTAATCATAAGGGGCTTTGATTCTTAGTTTAAAACTACTTGAGAATACCATTATTAGAATGATTCTTTCAAAACCTGCCTTCCTTAGAGGAAAAGATAATAAAGGGGTTGTTGGCAGTGAAAAATTTGGGAATCCTCAGGGTGCTTGTACCCATAGATACTGACCCTTTTGTCCAGCATTCAGACTGCCCAGGGAAGAAGCAGAGAAGACTACCATCCAAAGCAAACGGAGATGAGTTCTTTAACCTGGCTTCACATTTATTCTCCTGTCACTTTAGAGCTACCCCCGAACTTGCAAAAACAGTAGGAATATTTCTGTTCCGTGTGTGCACTGAACAGCTGAGTCCCTAGCAGGGTGCCTAATTGAGGAGGAAGTTAATTTCATGTGAAGGGCTGGTGCTTGTTGCAAATAGACCGGCTAGACCTCTGAACAGCCGTTTTCTTCAGAACCCAGGGTAAAAGAGCCCAGCTTGTCAGCTCTACTTCTGTGCCTTAGTGCTACTCTGATCCCTCTCCAACAGCAAGAGCTGACTGATGTTGGATGACCTCTGCTGTGACACCAAGCTGTCCCATCCTGGAGGCTGGAGAAACACAGCTGAATGAACGAAGTCATCCAGCCTCACACCCAGGATGACAGTTTCTGCGCAGATGGCCTCATCTTTCCTGTTTACAGACATGCAAGGCTCTGAGCAAGAGAATCCAATCTAATTTACAGGAAACACCACACTTCAGGAAAAGGGAAAGAACAGCTGGTGTGTATACCAAGACCCGACTTGTTCAGGCAAAAAGGGAGAGAGACTGCAAAACAGCTTCCCCTTGGTTCACCAATGGAATTCTATCGTGAGTATATGACCATCATATATTGTTTATTTGTGCTCTAAAGTATTTAAATATCAACATGCACCTTTCCATTGAGTGACTTCACGGGTCATGGCCAACATAAAACTTGGACAGGAAGTCCTTTGGCCTTGGCGCTTCTGTTTCATGGAAGAACCGCATAATATGTGTCCGCTGCTTCCACACTTTAATCGTTTCCTCCAGTTCCATCTTTCCCTGCAAAAGTGAGGGGAGAGGTCATTCATTAACGTGGTCAAGTAGAAGGAATACAACACCGAAGGCCAGCATTCCATTCTCTGCTCTGGCACTGACTTGTTGAGTGACCTTGGGTGGCAAGTAACGTACTCTGTCTAGAACACAGTTTCTGCATCTGGAAAATGAGATATATTGTTTAACTCTGTGGCTAACTGGTCCTAAGAGGAGAGACTACCAGGTCAACAGGCCCCTGTGACATGAATGCCTAATCTGACTGGCTTATGTTTTTGCATAATGTTTCTATCATGTTACTTACTGGTCCATGCTGAAGCTCCCATTGATGCTAACGTGACTGACCAGAGAGACAGAATCAGGCCTAGGATTTGACCCCATTTATGCAGGACTCAGTCAACTGGCCTGCCTCTTCTAGCTGTCAGCTGGCAACCAGGTGAAGCAGTAACTTCCAGAGATGGGGTTCAAGAAGAGTTCAAATTTTCCTCCCCATATCTTTTTAAGTTATAAAATACAAGCTGCAATGGATTTTCCCTTGAACAATCTTATCATCTATTTAACCAGGTGATAACTTCCAAGTTCAACTGTTCTTTTGAAACACTATGCAACTGTTGCTGATCCAGTAGTTGCTTTTTAAACCTGGAGACAAAGTGTTCATCTGGGAAGACTGAAAAGCTCCAGACAAGTTGGCTGCTCTTTTAAGTGGGTCAGGGAGAGTCATTTACCTTAATGACCAGAAGATCAACTACCCTGGGGTCCATGACATGGGCATTCTTCATAAACATTTCTCGGACTTTATCCCGTCCCTGTTTCACAGAGATGTCTAGCTGGAACAAATGCACTAGAGAGAAAACATGATTCAGGGTAGAAATTACATGGTTAAAGCATGTTTCTTCAACATTGAGTCACTGGATATTCATTGAACAGGTACAGGTTGCCCATTCATTCCATTCACCAAATATTAGCCTGACCCTAAGCTAGGCGCTTGACGATGCAAAGAAGCATGAGACGTGGTATGTGCTCTCAAGGAGCTGACATTTTGTTTGGGGAGACAAGACCACTGCAGTGAAGAGGCAGGATAGCAGAGTTTCAGAGTTCAAGGGTTCAGATCCCAGCTCTGTCATTTATCAGCTATAATCCTGTGTATGTTAAGTTCTCTGTGCCTGAGTGCATTTATTTATGAGTGAAATGAGGATGATAACAGTACATATAACACCAGAGCTGTTGTGAGGATTCTATGAGAGAATGCAAAATCCTTAGCATGGTACCTGGCAGGGAATAAAGCTCTCAATACAGTAGCATTATTATTATATGGAACAAGTGGCAAAAGATGATGGGGTTGAAATGAACGTCAACTGATATGGGTCTGTGCACCACACAAGTTTACAGTTGAGGGAGACTGCTGAGGGTCTGTGCCGGCAGGGAGGCTTCGGTGCAGGAGCAGTGACTACCATGTTAGGTTACTCGGGGGAAGGAGAGAATTTAAGATGCAGCTCCTGTCTTAAAGCTCCCTAGGTCTTAAAGTCTGTTGGAGGGATAGCCATCCATGAATGCAAACATAAAATCATAATATTCAGCAATCCCCGATGAAGTAGGTGCCTGAAACAGTGCCCTGGGCCTTCAGATGAGGCATATGGATGTCCTTTGAAGATGAGGTTTTAGTCATTCGTATTCCCATCCTTGGCAGTGAGCCTTCAGTGGATTGCTGATGACAGCAAGGGCATGAACAGGGCCTTGTGTGCTAGGTGGAATACAGACAGGAGGACGGGCACACTAGGTTGAGGGGACAGCGTGAGCACTGTGGGAGGAAGGAGACCAGGCTGCCCATCTGGTGAGGATACCTTGTGTTGTGGCCATTCCTGTAAGACGTCCACTCTGGTCTATAGAACGACCACAACCAGCTCTGAAACCACTATTTAGGGCTATTCAACAATAAAGCTAGAATCTTTAATTATATTCATAACTTAGTGACAGTGATAGAGAACCAAAGCTTCTGCTGAGGGAAATACTGTGCTGCCGCAAAGACGACAATGTTTCTCATCCGACCAGGGAACCAGCAACAGCAGCAATCTAAAAGGGGAAGTGCATCCCAGCTTTGTAGGGAAGGCGTAACAGAGAGGACAGAGGATCACTCACACCAGAAAGAGCTCAGGATTCTGTGGTGTCTGGAGTAGGCTCTCATGGCGAGCCAATGATACACATCTGCTCCCAAATCTGCCTTTGCCGACTTCACTTTGGTAGCTTAAAATCAACCGTGGTGGGAGTATTTACACCATGGAAAATGGTAAACGTTATCAATCTAGGGTTCCCTCCAGAGAGCTAGCTGTTAAACACTACAGTCAGCATCATATTAGGAATTTTAGAAAAGAGCAAAGCGACAGTAAGACAGACATAAAAACAAATGCAAACTAATACGGATCCTAGAATTTAGAATCTTACCGTGTGGGGGAGTGAGGGCTAGCGCACCCTGGGGACTTGCCTTAAGTCACCACTACTGGTCCCTGGCAAACACGGGCCTGGAATCCAGGTTGCTTATTGTTTTTTTAAATTTACAGTTGGTGCTCTTTTAAGGAAAGGAATATGGGGAATCTTCCTTGCTATCAGTGCTTCCTTTTCCTGCATTTTTATATTAGATGCCTGCCCAACCTTGGGAGGAAAAAACAAGGTGCCTCTAGGCATACTCAGGGAGCTGGTGCCCATCGCTCCCCTTCCTCATGCCCTGAGCCACACACCAGGGCAGTGGGTGTACGAATCTTCTCAGGAAAATGTTCACAGGCAGTGGGGCTTACGATGTCAGTTCACAGATCCCTGAATGCCCATCTTCCAAGGTTAAGAACCCTTGTCTCTGGAGAGACAAATTCCACAGCTTTGTCCTAGGCTTCCCCCTCTCATCCTAACCCCCTGAACACACCCCTCCACCAGTGAGAAAGGCTGTGGGCATGCAAAAAGTAACAGTCTAAGCTATAGCTGCTGAATTGTTCTTTGGACTAAATTGGTGTCTCTCAAACCAGTGGTGATTTTGCACCCCTCCCCCGGAACATTTGGTGACATCTGGAGGCATTTTTGGTTGTCACAACTAGGGGGAGAGTGCTACTGGCAGGTAGTGGGTAGAAGCCAGGGATGTTGGTAAACATCCTACTACGCACAGGACAGCCCCCACAACACTTACCCAGCACAAACGCTGCTGCTGAGAAACACTGCTTAAATCAATTCTAACTGTCCTTCCTCAACTCAGACATTCCTGAATATTTAACTTTCAATTTGAAAAAATCTGAGACACTCAAAAGGAAAATACGGAAGTGCCCCTTTTGGATGAAGGTGACTACCACGGTCTCTGTGTGTTCTTCCAAAGTTACTGTTAAGGCTTTTCTGAGTCAGGAAGGCCCTGACAGATTAGGAAAGTCGACATTGATATGGTCTCAGCTCTAGGCTCCAGTTCATTTTGGTAGCATTCATACCAGGCACTGGGAGATCCCTAGATGGGAAGGCAGCATGGTATAATGGAAAAGAGAATGAGATCGAGGGGCAAAGATGGGGTAAGGTCTCCACACCATTATGAACTATGACCTTGTCTGGGGTACAGCCTCTTCAGCCTGTTCCCTCATCTAAAAAATAGAAAATAACCTTCACAGGAATGAGGTGAAATTCTAGTGACAACATCTGGTAAACATTAAACGTTGATACAAATGTTAACTATTAAAAATTTCAGCACTTATTTCCCATACCTCTGTTATATTTTGGGTTTTAATGATCTGGTTATATGCCTATCTTCCTGACTAGACCATAAGACTCTTGAAGGCAGAATTGTGTTTTATTCATTTTTGTGTCTCTCTAGGCACCTAGCACTGATCCTATAGTCCAAGCGGTACTCGATGACATGGAAATTAAATGAAGGAACAGTTTCTATACAAAGTCTCCTGCTATGTTGTAACCAGCAAGCAGCATGTAATATTTTTTCAAAGGAAGGATTCAATGGTGGTTTCTCCCTGTGCTCCCACGCCAAGGCTGCCACCATCCGGGCAAAGGGCACTCTGCCCCACATGTGCAGCAGAACTGGGTTCTGTGAGATTCAGGGAAAACTACAGCAGGAGATAAGAGTGAGGGGTAACAGCTGGACAGTCTCTGAAGTCCGGCTCTTCTACTTACTAACAGTGTGACATGAGACAAGTTCATGAGGCTCAGTTTTCTCATCTGTAAGACAGGGAACAATCAGAGCCTACTCTAAAGTAAGGTAATGTAAAGTATTTAGCATAGTGCTGGGCCATGTGTGTGCATTTCAATAAATGTTAGTTATTATCAATACTATTACTTATTCCCAATTCTTGGTTTGGTTCCCCAGCTGGAGTCCCAATTGTGGATAGAAAGGCACCAGTGTAGACAGAGGCCTGAGCAAGCGACCAGCTATAGATCAGTGATCCTTCCTATAAGGGTGTACCACCCCACTGACTCCCTTTTTTCCTGCTCTCTAGGCTCCTGTAACCCCTGGCCTTCTCCTCCTCCTCCCAGGAACCTTCTGACTCTGGGATTATCTTCTCAATAGTATTTGAAGGAAGGTTCCGGGAGCGGATGGTTTAGAAAGAGATGGGTCCTGACAGTGGATACTTGTGTTCTATCCTCAACTCAGCCATTGATTTTTCCCCTTCACAAACTGCTCTTCCGGCATCTGGGCCTTGTTCCCTACCTCCAGCTCCTCCCTGCAATAAGAAAGGGTTCTGGGCACTCACAGAAGTATTCTGCTAGGCAAACATTATGTTTTTAAACATCTGAATTTGAATGCACATTCCCCCACACACTTGCTACCGTCACTCCCCCACACGCACTAGCCACCCGTCCTCTGAAGGCATTTGAATTTGCAGTCTCTGACCCAGCAGTTCACTTAAGTCTCCCTGTCTAGCATCCTGTGGGTTTAAGTTCTGGTCATCAGCAGCCTCTCAAAAAGGCAGCTTGAGGACAGGGACACTGTGGAGCAGACACAGTTCCCACACATCAAAGAACTGGGGTCTACAAGGAGGCTACTGCTAGGGTAAGCCCTATAAATAAGAATGACAATAATAACAACAATAAAAACAACAGGAGCAGCCCGCATTTAATGAGCGCCTGACTAAGTGCCAGGCCCTCGCCTAAGCACTTTAGATCTATTAATCTACTTAACAGGTAACCCTCTGAAGAAGGTACTATTATTATCCCCATTTTACAGATGAGGAAACTGAGGCACAGTGAGATGAAATAATTTGTCTAAGGTCACACAGCTAGTAAGTGCAGGGCGTGGAGGCAAGTCTATATAATCACCACATTTTACGGCTTCTCACACACAGGCAGGGCAGTGGCAGCCCTGATGGGTGCTATGGTGCTCCAGATCACTTAAAAACACTGGCACGGCGCTTAAGTTCGCACACTCTGTTTCGGTGGCCCGGGGTTCAGGTTTGTCTGCTAGGATCCCGGGTGCGGACATGGCACCGCTTGGCAAGCCATGCCGCAGCAGGTGTCCCACATATAAAGTAGAGGAAGACGGGCACGCATGTGAGCTCAGGGCCAGTCTTCCTCAGCAAAAAGAGGAGGATTGGCAACGGATGTTAGCTCAGGGCTAACCTTCCTTTAAAAAAAAAAAAAACCTTCCCTCAGACTAGCAGTGATGGTCTACACTGAAGCAAAACAGTCCCTGACAGTGGTACTGCCCTTGACAGTTTAGACGGCACTTTCCCCAACCCCTCTTTCATCAGGTGCACTAGGCAGCACTGCCGGGGATGCCAAGATAAGAAAAAACACAGGCTCTGCACCCGGGGAGCTGATATCTTAATCCTTCAGGTTAACAGACTGGTTCTCTGACATCTCAGTGGAGGCAGGGGTTCTGAGGAAGCAGCAGGCAAGCCAGCAGGGGGCAGGGGGAGGAGTTCCTAAGGAAAACTAGGGGCAGGTAGAATATCGGGGGCAAGGCGTGGGAGACTGGAGAGAGGGGGAGGACATCTCGCCTGCAGGGGTGTAAAGGCACTCCTGATTTACGGATGACCTTGGGAAAGTCACTTCCCTTCTCTGCTTCAGTTTCTTTTTTTGGTGAGGATGTGGGAACCAGATGATCGCTCAAATCCTACAGCCACTTGTGTTATACAACCTATGGGCATCTGTAAGTATGTTCTGGAACTCTAGAGTTGACGTGGGGTTCCAGACCCACCACAGGCTAGCTCTGGGCCTTGTGAGCGTCACTTGGCCTCTCGGTGCCTCAATTGCCTCCCCTATAAAATGAGTATGTCACTGACAGTCCCTGCTCTCCCTCCCGGGGTTTCGGTAAGAATTACGGGAATCCTAGAAGCCAAAGCGCCGAGGGCGCCTAGAAGCGCGGGACGGACGCTGGGAAGGGCTGATGTGACTCCGGCGCCGCCGCCAGGTCGGGTCCACCAAGACTCGAGTGACCCTCCTGCCCTGAAGCACGCGGAGTCGCCTCTGCCCAAGCTGGTGACCTCGGCTCGGCCCGGGAGAAATCGGAGGCCGGGACGGCTGCGACCTTGGGCTGCCTCCGGGGCCCCGCGTGCGCCGCTGCCTCTCACCAGTGTTCGGCACCTCCCGGTACCAGGCGCGGTAGAGCTCGCGCACCCTCCGCTTGGCCTCGTTCATGTCCCGACTGAAAATGGGCTTCACCGAGGTGCCGGCCGCGGCGGCTGCCCGACTGAGGCCGCTCGCCGCCATCTTGCTAAGGAAATCGCCTCCTAGCCCCACCCCCCTTTTCAACGCGCGAGTGTGGCGGAAGAACGAATATCTTCTGTCATTGGCTAAGATTAAACGCCCCGCCCCCAAGCCCCAAGGGTGGGCGGCTCTGGGGCCCTTTGATTGGCTGGAAAGGCTCTGTGGGCGGGAGAAGATCGGCTGGTGGGGCCTGCGCATGCTCATTTGAGGAAACGCCCGCTCGGCCGTTGGTCGTCCTAAACGTGGCCCGACGGCGCCGCCAGGGGGCGCACGCGCCACAGGCTGGAGGCTGGGCGGGAAGCCGGCGCGCGCGGTCGAGCGTCTCTCGTTTGGGACGCCCGTGGGCGCGCAGGGCGTCGCGGAGCTTCCTCGGTCGCTCGCCGGCGCGGCCCCAAGACTACGGCTGAGGCTGAGGCGCATCCCGGTGGCTGGGCTGCCTTGGAGCTGGCCCGACCTCTCTGCGGCTTTCCCACAGCAACGACTTTTTTAAAAAGTAAACCAGCTCTTTGCAAGCGCGCTGTAGATGGGAAAGCGCTTTCCCGGCCTTTGGCTTCTCGGCCTTTCTCCACCGCCCGGGAGGTAGTTATCTGATCAGCCCCATCTCAGACAAAGACATTTTCCTCCCAAACTGTGGATCTCTGTGAAAAACAGCCCAGAATTTTGGAGCTGGGCGGAACCTTCAGCCGTGCGTCCTGGGCCTCTGTCTCTTCCCGGGCCTTTTTGTACGGAGGTTCCCTGGCCGTCGGGGCAGCCTGGAAGTGCAGAGGGAGAAGCGGCAGCCGGCAGCCGTGCAGGAGATGCTGTCCCTGGTCCTGTCGATCTCTAGGTAGGTGGGTGCCCTCAGCATCCCCGCTTTACAGGTGCGGACGCTGCGGTGGTGCCGAGTCGCGGTCGCTTGACGCCTGCCTGGGCTTCCCGGTTCTTTCTGACAGCGCAGCTGACAGGCACCTCGTGAGGCTGGGGAAGGAGCGGGGCCAGCCTGCGGGACGGCCCTGCCTCTAGCCCAGTCTTTCCTGTTTTAAAAGGGTAAAGAATTGGATTTTTTCCCCCCTTTATTATCTTTTAAAGAATGTTCGTACATTTAAATAAGTTATAAAAGAAAGCACGTCACATCTATGTTACAGAGCATGATAATAAAATGGAAACTTGCACCTCAGTACCCACTTCAAGAAGTGGTAGTACAGTTCCAGTTTCCATAAAGCATCCTGAGTTCCTGGTAACCACTGTTTTAACCTCTGCGGGCACGTTAACTTGCTTAAGCCTCGCCACACGCCTGTGCGATGAGCGCTGTTATGCCCATTTCACAGGGAGAAAGCTGAGAAGCAGAGAGACTAAGTGACTTGGCAGCGTTGGGTTGAGACCCAGGTAGCTGGCCCCAGAGTCTGTGTCCACCTCTCCCAGCACCTGTACACTGTCTACCTGTGTGATTCTAACCTGATCCGTGCTCCTGGCCTCTCCAGGGGTAACCACTGTCATTAATTCAGTGTTTAATCTTCCTTTTCATTGAAAAAAAAAAAATAGCCTCTAAAACAACCCACAAACTCGGAGAAAATATTTGCAAATCATATATTCTGTAAGGGACTTGTATCTAGAATATATAAAAGGCTCTTACAACTCAACAGTGAAAAGAAAAATAAAAAAAATGAACAAAAATGACAACATCAAATGCTGACGAAGATGTGGAGCGGCAGGAACTCTCTTTCATGGCTGGTGTGAATGCAAAATTGTAACCCACTTTGGAAGACAGTTTAGCAGTCTCTTACAAAACTCAACACACTTTACCATATCATCCAGCAGTCACGCTCTTCGGTATTACCCAAATGAGTTGAAAACTTATGTCCACACAAAAACCTGCACATGAATGTTTAGAGCAACTTTATTCGTAATTGCCAAAACTTGGAAGCAACCAAGAAGTCCTTCAAGGGGTGAATGGATAAATGAACTGTGGTACATCCAGACAGTGGGATATTCTTCAGCGCTAGAAGGAAATGAGCTATCAAGCCTCAAGAGACATGGAGGAACCTCAAGTGGATATTACTAATTGAAAAAAGCGAATCTGAAAAGGCTGTAAAATTGTATGATTCCAGCTATGTGACGTACTGAAAAAAGGCAAAACTATGGAGACAATAAAAAGATTGTTGGTTGCTGGGGGAGAGAATGATGAATAGGTGCAGCGCAGAGAGTTTTTAGGGCAGTGAGCCCATTCTGTGTGATACTATAGTGGTGGGTGATGTCATTATACACTGTCCAAACCTGCAGAGTGAACCCTAATGTAAACTGTGAACTTTGGATGATTCCGATGTGTCAGTGTAGGTTCATCGATTGTAACAAATGTACCACTCTGGTGGGGGATGTTGATAGTGGAAGAGGCTGTGAGTATGGGCGTTACAAGGGGTATAGGGAAATTCTCTGTATTCCCCACTCAATTTTGCTGTGAGCCTAAAACCACTCTTAAAAGATAAAGTCTTTTTTTTTTTTATGGGCAAAAGATTTGAATAGTTGTTTCTCCAAAGAAGATATACAAATGACCAGTAAGTACATGGAAAGACACATCATCATTAGTCATTAGGTAAATACAAATCAAAACCGTAACAAGATAACCATTTCTCAGCCACTAGAATGCCTAGAATAAAAGACAGGCAATTGTTAGTGATGGCGAGGATGTGGAGAAATTGGAGCCCTCATCCGTTGCTGGTGGTCATGTTAAATGGTGCATCCACTTTGGAAAATAGTCTGACAGGTTATTAAAAAGTTAAACGTAGAATTAACTATATGGTCCAGCAATTCCAATCCTAGGTATCTACCGAGGAACGTGAAAACATTTGTCCACACAAAGACTTGTATGCAAACGTTCATAGCAGCGTTATTTACAATAGCCACAAGATAGAAACAACTCAAAAGCCCCTCAACTGCATGGACAAAAACCCCAAAAAAGTAGGGAAACAAAATGTGCTATATCCACACGATGGAATCCTCTTCAGCCACGAGGAATCTCGAAAACATTATGCTAAGTGGAAGAAGCTACACACAAAACAACACATACTGTATGATTCCATTTGTATGAAGGGTTCAGAAAAGGCAAATCTATACAGACAGAAAGTAGGTTAGTGGTTGTTCAGGGGTGAGAATGGAAATGAAGAATCGACGTATTATGACGTGTCTGTGTAGGCTAATGGAAATGCTCCAAAATTAGTTTGTGGTGATAGTGTACAACTTTGCAAATATACTAAAATTCATTGAATTATACACTTAAAATGGGTGAAGGATAAACTTTATGGCATGTAAGTTATATCTCAGCAAAGCTGTCGGACAAAAATAGTCTCCAATGATTTTTCAAATGGGTAAAGTCCAATGTATCTTAATGATGCCTTCTTGCTCTCATCATCTTAAAAAAGGAAAAAACCTCTATTTGTCCTTATTAAAAACAATGATTTTAGAAAATTGTGAAGGAACAGCACAGTACAGAAAATAAATAGCCTCCATCGAATTAGAGGTAATGTAGAACACAGTGAAAAGAATTTAGAGTCAGTCTCTGATACCAGTGTCTAGCTGTATATCAAGTTACCTTTCCTCCGTGAACTTTGGTTCCCACATCTGTAAAATGGGGATAATGGTGGCTACCACACAAGGTTGTGAGGATTAAATGAGATGATGTATATAATAATAAGTGCCTAGAAGAGTGTCTACTGCACACAGATGTTTGATAAATGTTGGTTTTCCTTTCTTTTGTCTACTAATCAGATTATGAGAATCCTGTTAACTTTCTTTAGCCTCAATCCCTATAATACATTACACAGAGTAGATCCTAGTGACCAAGAGCCAGTGAAGAGGGGCAGTCTTGCTGAGGGAGGAGGGTTGGAATGCATCTAGGTGGTTGTCTTGATTATGTGTTTGCAGCTTAAGCCCCCCATTTTTTACTTACATTGTATGTTATGGATTAATACAAATAGAGATTTTTAAAAGTGCTTTTATGCACATTTTACCCAAGATTAAGAAAACGTCCATTTTCTGTAGCAAAGAATATTCTTTTTTTTGGTGGGTGATGTTGGTGTAGATATGGGTTAAGGGCTAACCACTTTCCCAACCCCCTCTTCTCACTGTCCTTGTTGCCCAGTGAGTGTTAAATTGGGTTGAATTGAAGCCTGAAGCGTTTAGAGGACTTGTGCAGTTGGTCATGGAGTGAGAAACTAGATCCCAGAATTTCTTATTCCAGTTCACTCCCTCTTACCTCTTCCTCCACTCCTGCTCTCCTGTCACCCCACTTTTGGCCTTTATTTAAAGTTCTCCTGTCCAAGATGGTCAACATCTATCTGCATCCTACTTCTCTGAGACCACCTTAGAGTCAGAGATAACACAGAAGATCTTTTGGTCTCCAGTGGCATATGGGATCATGGGATCCCAAGATGGAAGCAAAAGCAAGGAGGAGGTATCAGGAACTGGAAACACACCCATCAGGGCCCAGATACATAGCCACACATTGTACTCAGCCTTTTCTTTCTGGCCCCTGTAGGGAAGAGAAAAGTGGCTTTTATCATTTTCTGTATATTCTACTATATATTTTAAATTAAATGTTTAAGATAATTTTAGATTCACATGTATAAGAAATAAAATAGGGAGGTCAGAGGTACCCTTTACCCAATGGTAACATATTATAAACTATATAGTACAGTATCGCAGCCAGGATATGGACTTTACTATAATCAAGATACAGAACACTTCCATCACCACAAAGATCCCTCATGTTGTCTTTCCCCCTCCCCCTCCTCATTACCTGATAAAGGGGCTCCATTTCTATAATTTTGTCATTTCAAGAATGTTATATGGGGCCAGCCCTGTGGAATAGTGGTTAAGTTCAGTGCATTTCACTTCAGAGGCCTGGGTTTGTGGGTTTGGGTCGTGGACCTACACTACTTGTCAGCCACACTGTGGCAGCAACCCACATATAAAAGCTAGAGGAAGATTGGCACAGATGTTAGCTCAGGGCTAAACTTCCTCAAGCGAAAAAAGAGGAGGATTGGCAACAGATGTTAGCTCAGGGTTAATCTTCCTCAGGAATAAAAAAAAGAATATTATATAAATGAAATCATACAGTATGTAACACTTTGGTTAGGCTTTTTTCCCCCACTCAGCATAATTCCCTTAGGATCCATCTAGGTTGTTGTATGTATTGATGGTTTATTCCTTTTTATTCTGAGTGGTACTCAAGAGTATGGATGTACCACAGTTTGTTTAACCATTCACCCCTTTAAGGACATCTGAGTTGTTTCCAGTTTTTGGCTATTATGAATAAAACTACTATAAACATTTGTGTACAGCTTTTATGTTAACATAAGTCTTCATTTCTCTAGAATAAATGCCCAGGAGTGCAATTGCTCGGTAATATGTTTGTTGCATATTTAGTTGTCTAAGAAACTACCAAACTGTTTTCCAGAGTG